GCCTCCTAAACAGCTTGTCACCTTGTGTCAATGGCTTGTGTAGTCACCGTACTCCTGGTGAGAGTCACAACTACACAGTGACCTATTGGAAAGAGGCCCAGAGAGCTGAACAGATGTGAGTAGGGAGTGCATGTGGCACACACAGATTGCACCTACTGGGACCTGCTTTTAGAAGTTGTATTTCTTCTACTCTGTGCCCTGGCTAGAAAAAAACCAAAATGAATGAATGAATGAATGACTAAATAAGTAAATAGTATTTCTCCTCTGTCCAGAGTAGTAAAGGCCTGGCTTTCTGAGCCCTGTGGCTCTCAGGTCATGATCACCCCTCTGTGGACACCTGCTGCGGGATAGTGAAAAATGGAAACTCCCCTGTGTGACTAAGAATCCTTGCTTGTCTTGCTTGTCTTCCCCACTGGTTCTTGAGGCGGCCAGTTTTATGACAATACACTTCTTGAACACCCCTCTTTGCTATAAATTAAACAATGAGAACGAGGGTTGGACAGTGGGACAACAATCCTAATGCCACTGGAAACTGTTGTGAAGAGTTCCTTACCCCAGTCAACATGCATATCCCAAGTTTTGCGTGCCCACAATGTAGATATCTAAAAAGAACTGACCCTGCCACTTCCTAAGTCAGCTTCTCCTACTGACTGCTCCATTTCTGTGATATCAACATCTTCCTAATTACCTAGACTCAATACCTGGGGATCTCTTTCAAGTATGTTTTTTCTTCCAATCATTTTCTTTCATTACCCAAGCCCTATCAGGTCTGACTGCAATATCTCTTCATACTTTTTCTTGTTAGATTGCCATGAGTACTAAAGTATTTCCTTTACATTTTTGTTTTACTTTTTTATTACAGAAATTTTAAACATGTACAAAAGTAGACAGATTGGCAGGGCGCAGTGCCTCATGCCTGTAATCCCAGTACTTTGGGAGGATCACCTGAGGTCGTGAGTTCGAGACTAGCCTGGCCAACATGGTGAAACCCTGTCTCTACTAAAAATACAAAAATTAGCCGGGCATGCCGGCACGTGCCTGTAATCCCAGCTACTCAGGAGGCTGAGGCAAGAGTATCGCTTGAACCTGGGAGGCGGAGGTTGCAGTGAGCCGTGATTGTGCCACTGCACGGCAGCCTGGGTGACAGACCAATACTCCATCTCAAAAAAAAAAAAAAATGTAGACATATTTTGTAATAAACCTCCATATATCAATGTAGTCATCACCTAGCTTTAACAATGACCAAGTCATACCTGTTTCACCTAGACCACCACCAACTCCCCTCCTCCTTTCACTATTCTGAAGCAAATCCCAGACATCATATCATTTTCTCTGTAAATATTTTAGTAGGTATTAAAGCAAGAGTAATTTTTAAAGTATAAATTTACTTTTAAAAACTGAAAATGCTTCATTAATTATTAAGAGCTGTTATTTTTATTTTTATTGTTTTAACTATTAACATGATTGGACATCTTTTAATTTATTTATTGGCCCTTTAAATTTGCTTTTTTCTGAAGTGTCTATGCATATCTTTATCTCATTTGTTCATCAGATTGTTTGTCTTTGTAAATTATGGATAATAAACCTTTATTTGTAATATGTATTCTCTACTCCACCCTCTTCCTATATACCCATTCAAACCCGTTCATATAGTTATATTTCCTTGACCCCTGATGAAATCTAGGACAAGTCTAGTGATTTTTCTGGTCACTCCTATATAATTTTAAAAGTCCTCTATTAACTATCAGTCCATAGAATAGTGTTATTAAACTGTCCAATTCTATGTAATTATTAAAATTCTGAACTTCATTTAAAGTTAAAACTTACTCTTTCCTCCACCTAGAGCTTGTTTCAGGCAAGACGTCTTCAGAGAGAAGTGGTGTGTGTTGTTGGCCTTATCTGTCTTGACTGCAAGCACATCTGCCCCTTACCTGTGACTTCTCCCTCCCTCAGGGCTATGTAGATGGGGGAGAGGTGGCAGGTAGGAGATGGAGAACCAAGAGGAAATGGAAGGTTGCATGGACAAAGGTGGTACTGGTGGTAGTGGTAAGAAATAGTAGGGTTCTGTATATACTTTGAAGGTATAACCCACATAATTTGCTAATGGATTGGTTGTAGGATATTGGAGAAAGAGGCGAGTCAAAAATTACATAGTTTTGGGTTTTTATTGATCTGAGATCTGTATTTTTATTGTGGTAAAAAATACATGACATAAAATGTATTATTTTAAGCATTTTTAACTATTCAGTTAAATGGCACTAAGTAAATTCACATTGTTGGGCAATCATCACCAGTATCTATCTCAAGAACTTTTTTTATCATCCCAAACTGAAACTCTGGACATGGGCAAATCATTTGAAGACCAGCCTGGCCATCATGGTGAAACCACATCTCTACTAAAAATACAAAAATTAGTCTGGCATAGTGGTGTGTGCCTGTAATTTCAGCTACTCAGGAGGCTGAGGCACAAGAATCACTTGATCCTGGGAAGCAGAGGTTGCAGTGAGCTGAGACCACACCATGCATTCCAGCCTGGGAGATAGAGTGAGACTCTATCTTTAAACAAACAAACAAAAAAAAATCGAGACCAAACTGAAACTCTATACCCATTAAACAATAAATCCTCCATTCCTCCTTGACCTGGGTCCTGGTAACCACCATTCTACTTTCTATCTCTGAAATTGACTATTCTAGGTAACTCATATAAGTATAGTTATACAATATTTCTGTGATTGGTTTATTTCACATTGTATAATGTTTTCTAGGCTCATCTATGATTTAATATTTGTTTATTACAGATAGTATGCATCAGAATTTCATTCCTTTTAAGGCTAAGTAATATTCCACTGTACGTATATGTCACATTTTATTTTTCCATTCATCTGTTGTTGGACATTTTTTTAAACCACCTTTTGGCTATTGTGAATAATGATGCTGTGAACACAGGTGTACAAAGATCTATTCAAGCCCCTGCTTTCAATTCTTTTGGGTACTAACACAGAAATAAAATGGCTGGATTTTATGGCACATCTATGTTTAATTGTTTTAGGAACCACCATCCTGTTTTCCACAGTGACTGTATCACTTTACATTTCCACCAGCAATGTGCATATGAAAGAGTTCTAATTTCTTTACATTTTTTTCCAGTCTTATAAGAAAGTCTAGATGATTTCTGTACCTTCTTTTCTCCTTTCTTTCTTTTTCTTTCTCTCTCTCTCTTTTTTTATTTTTTGAGACAGGGTCTTGCTCTGTCACCCAGGCTGGAGTGCAGTGGTGCAATCATGGCTCACCGTAGCCTCAAACTCCTGGGCATAAGCAATTCTCTCACCTCAGCTTCCTGAGTAGCTGGGACCACAGGGACACACCACCATGGCCAGCTAATTTTTGTAGTTTTTTTTGTAGAGATGGGGTCTCACTGTGTTGCCCAGTTGCCCAGGCTGGTCTTGAATGCCTGGCCTCAAATGATCCTCCTGTCTTTGCCTTCCAAGGAGTTAGGATTACAGGGATGAACCACTGCAATTCTAACTCCTTGGAAGTGGCCACTCCACATTCTTGACAACATTTTTTATTTTCTGTTTTTTTTTTTAATTAAAAAAATAGCCATCCTAATTGGTGTGAAGTGGTATCTCATTGTGGTTCTGATTTGCATTGCCCTAATGATTAAGTGATGTTGCACTTTTCGTATACTTATGGACCATTTGTAGAATCAGGTTGTTTGCTTTTTGTTTTTGAGTTATAGTAGATATGTAATCTGATCTTGAGGTTTTTCTATAGTAGTTTGTCTAATCAAGTTTTCCATTTCTCGTTAGGTCAGTTGAAAAAAATTTTTTTCTGGGAAAATTTCCTCTTGGTTTTCAAATTGGTTGTTGAAGAGTTACATGTGATATTTTCTTACACATTATCATTTTCTACCCTGAATTATATTATTTGCATACTTCATATTGTCTTTTTTAGATTTCATATTCTTCAAAGGTATAGATTATTATCTACCAGACCACACATTTACTTGAACATGACTTTTGTGTAATAATTACTTTGGAAGAATTAATGTTAATTGATTTGGTTACTTATTTACTATTTGTTCATTTATGGATATGACTTATCTTTGTTTTCAGCAATAGTGAATATCTTAGTAATAAATTGCAATAAGTTAAACACTGTATTTAACTTTAAAATTTAAAATACCATTTTGAATATAAAATCTTCAAAAATACTTTTGTTGTTAACTGGTATAAAATAAAATAAAAAAGGGAATAGGAAAGTAGGATTATAATTAGAGGAAAGGAAGGAACATTTATTGAGGACCAGACACTATTTAAGGAATTTTACATAGAATATCTCATTAGACTTTTATTATATTTATTAGAAATGGCCATTGTCATCCTCATTTCATAGATGAGAAAACTGGGGCTAACAGAGGTAATATAACTAGTATATGAAAGAGCCTTTATCAATAAAAATGAGGAATTTCTAGGAATTTAAATACTAAAAGAGCATAAATAGCTTATATGCAAAGATATTAGCTTTAGCATTTTTGATGTCTCGCTAATATATTTCTGTAACAGGATTGTCAGTGTTAAATGAGGACAGTACTAATAGATAACTGTTCTTTCCCCTGAGGATGTTGGAGAAACAGACACAAAACAATCATCACACAAGTAATTTTTAAGAATCTATATGGTCTATGACAATGGATTGACACTTGAGACTTATAGTAAGTTACAGAGCTAGTTTCTGCTTTCAAAGAACTTCTATTTTGTTGGAAGCCACGTAGATACAGATGGAATGAACAGAAATATTCAAATCCACTAATTAATAGTGCCAGAGAGTCCAAAGAGTTTATGCTGAATGGCATAGTGACTGATCCCATAGAAACATATCATGTACAAACATATCATCGGGGCTTTTTCTGAATGGGAAAGGCTCAGTTGTTTCAAGGGGCCTATATTCTCTTAGCTTGTCTGGGGATACTGAGCTTCAGTTTTTTTTGTTACACAGCTTTATAAGAGGAGCTTGCTCACCTGCTCCCTAAACACCTGCTTCACCTGCTTGTTCTTCAGGGTGTAGATGAAGGGATTGAGCATCGGGGTCACCACGGTGTTAAGCAATGCCACCACCTTGTTCCTGTCTTCCTTCTGGTCACTTTTGCCTGACCGGATATACATGACGATGCAGCTGCCATAGAAGAGAGACATGACGATGTGGGAGGAGCAGGTGGAGAAGGCTTTCTGCTTCTTTTTGTTTAAGGGGATGTGCAGAACGGATGTGGCCATAGCAAGTGGCCGTCACGGACAGAGTGCCCAGTAAGCTGATGTTGGCTATAACAAAACCCAGGAGCTCTATCAGAGTTGTGTCTGCACGAATGAGTTCCAGGAGGGGAAAGTTGTCACAGAAGAAATGGTTAATGATGTTGGGGCCACAGAATGGCTGCTGAAGGACGAGGAAACTTGGAACAATGATGAGAAGGAATCCTGTCATCCACGAGCAGAGGACTAGCTGGACACAGACCCTTTGGCACATGGTGGTGGCATAACACAAAGGGTTACATATGGCCACGTACCTGTCAAAGGACATCACCGCCAGGAGGAAGAACTCTGTGGTACCCAAGAAAAAATAGAGGAAACTTTGCAGGAAGCAGCCTGGGAGGGAGATGGTCTTGTATCCTGTGAGGATGTTGGTTAGCACCTTGGGGAAGATGACTGAGGTGAACCAGATCTCCAGGACAGCAACGTTGCGGAGGAAGTAGTACATGGGCATGTGGAGGCGCCTGTTCATGAGGGTGATGACCACGATAAGCAGGTTCCCCAGCAGTGTGAGGGGGTAGGTCAGGAGGAGCCCCAGGAAGATGAGCATCTGCAGCTCACAGGCCTCTGAGAGCCCCGGCAGGACAAACTCGGTGACGGTGGTGCGGTTCCTGATGGCTCCTCTGACCTCTGCTGGGGAGGGCCGATCAAAGGTGTTCAGCAACAGGAATCGTTATGTTGGGGACCTGAGGACAACCTGGAACTGAAATGAGAGGGGGCTGAAAGTGCTTTATTTCTGTGAAGGACGTATCTTCCCACTACTGACTACTCAGGCTTATCTGCAGAGCCTCTGGGGTTACCTGTTTCATGTATGCTTTCTGGTGCATCTGTGTGTTAGACGAGAGAGTGGTGATGTGCAAGGTGGTCCAATTAAGGTTCAGAACCAAAATGTATCCTTTCTTACTTCTTGTAACCAAAACTTTTATCCTGATTTCTCAATGAATCCCTTTGCCTATACTAATATTACCTGCTTTCAATAACGTTTGTTCTTGTGTTTACACCAATATTGGGTCTTCATCCATAAAGAGTTCATATTCGAGGGTGTTGCTGTTTAAACATTGCCAGGATCTTTGATACCTTTCACTAGTTTTTGGATTAATAAAAAAGAGTAGAGGAAATCTGTGAGAGAAAAGCACAACTCTCACAAATCAAATAAGGAAAAATCCAAGTAGCATCTGCATAAATCAACACTCCTTAATGGGAGTTTGGTATTCAACATTCTTTTTTTTTTTTTTTTTGAGATGGGGTTTCGCTCTTTTTGCCCAGGCTGGAGTGCAATGGCACAATCTCAGCTCACCGCAACCTCTGCCTCCTGGGTTCAAGGAATTCTCCTGCCTCAGCCTCTCGAGTAGCTGGGATTACAGGCATGCGCCACCATGCCTGGCTAATTTTTGTATTTTCAGTAGAGACGGGGTTTCTCCATGTTGATCAGGCTGGTCTTGAACTCCCAACCTCAGGTGATCCACCCGCCTCGGCCTCTCAAAGTGCTGGGATTACAGGCGTGAGCCACCATACCTGGCCGATATTCAACATTCTTAATGACCTGTTCCCAAGGTTCTTCTTTCATTATATCCTTCCACAAACTCTGAGCTTTGGATATAATAGATTCTTTGCAATATTTTGATTTTTTATCCATTTTCACACAACTGTGTGTTTGCTCATGGCACTCTTTCAGTTTGGAATCATCAGCCTTTCAAGTCCTATTTATCCTTTAAGTCTTTCCTCAATAAATGCTTTCTTTTCTATAAAGCCTTCTCTTCCAAATAAATGTCTTTCCTCTGTACCTCTCGTAATTTTATTATATATCACCTTGTTTTTATTGTATTGTTATAGCTGTTTTTGACTTCTTGCTCACTGAGTCAATAATTTATTAACCTTTGTATTTTCTACAGTAATTAAAACAAATTTCTTGAAGTAATCAGCTTTAACAGACGTTTATTGAATGAGTGAGCTATACCTCAAATGTCTTGACAGGTGGATTGGGTGGGTGTTTGACACACAAGTGGTTGAGGACATGTCATTTATGTAGCATTTCCTAAGGGTCAGCAACCTTGCTGGCAGCATGCCAACCCGTCTGAAATTGGTTATCTGGAGAGAGTTTGCTTTTCCTCACAACAAGGTGGAAGCATTGCCCCACAATCATTCTCTGGAGGGAGAGTCTACATCTTTAAGACGGTCTGGAGTTTGAGTGAATGAGACAGAGGTCTGGTTGGGTTTACTAGAGAGCTTCCAGCAGCAGAAAACCCAAAAACCAAAAACCTTAAAAAGGTTATGCCTTCTTTTGAGCACAGGCTACATTACTCTAAGTAATTCCATAAACTACCCTTATCTCTAACATTTGCTGACAGTTATTAAAGAACACAAAATAGTTGACTAGCCTTTGAGGATATAACTAGGGCTATTTCTCGTGGGCTAATTCTAGGCTTCACATTGTCTAGATCCATAAACAATTGGAAAAAGAGGTTTCTGTAGCCTCATCATTTTGTTCAAAGATGAGCCCAGGTGGCCCATGACAAAAGCAGAATCCAACATAAACATGATGCCCAGAAACATCATCAGGAACTAACAGGATGAGTATTAGAGTATTATTTAGGCAAGTCCTGGGTGGTGCACATTGGGAGAAACATAGGAACAGAGATTAAGGTGATAAAGAGCCAGATGTGAATGGGACTAGAAGAAAAAGCTCCAAGTTCATGCTGAGTCATGAGCTTAGCACAGATAAAGGCATTGTGACCAGCCAAGGAATAGCATCTAGCCAGGGACGCTGATGAACCCTTTTTTTCTTCCCGTTTCAAAGCAGAGGTCACTAGTTCTTGGCTTTCCAGATACAAAGTAAATTAGGTCACTTCCTGAATCCCAGGCATTTCCTCCTTTATCCTACATGCTTCATGAGTGAAGGGGAGACTTGCTCGGCAGCCTGAGAGCCTGGACGTGGCTGCACCATCTACTTCAGACCATTCATTGTTTTTAGGGTCAGTTGTGTAGTGCCCCATGGAAAAGTATGCATGACCTGGAGGTGTGACCTGCCACGGTAGAGACTCAGGCTCTTTTTTTTTTTTTTGCCCAGGCTGGAGTGCAGTGGCATAATCTCGGCCTACTTAAACATCTGCCTCCTGGGTTCAAGCGATTCTCCTGCCTCAGCCTCCCGAGTAGCTGGGACTACAGATGTGTGCTACCATACACGGCTAATTTTTGTATTTTTAGTAGAGACAGGGTTTCACTAGGTTGGCCAGGCTAGTCTCGAACTCCTGGCCTCAGGTGACCCACCGTTCTCAGCCTCCCAAAGTGCTGGGATTACAGGTGTGAGCCACTGTGCCTGGCCTTCATGCTCTTCTACTACACTTAGAAGGAGGATGAGATCTTCTCCTTCAAAACAAAAGCATTTGGAGTTTCACCCAGACTCCATGTTGTCCAGAGCTTTGTGTCTTCCAAGGGCACAGTTACATAGAGCACAGAGTGGCACAACATTGGGCAGATCAGGCCAGGCAAAGTCCCTCAGTGCAAGTCAGTAATATAATGGCTCTGACTGAATAAACATCGGCTTACCCACTGCTGTGTTCCAGCATTGACTTGGGTGGTGGGGCTCAAGTTACAAATGACACCCAGTGCCTGCCCTTGATGTGCCAGACCTTCTGACAAAATATAAAAACAAGTGCCAGTAAGAGGAGGGTTTGAGGAAGCAACTGCTGCTCTGCCAGCCCCTGAAGTGCTAAGGTGGAGATTACCTGGCAGGTCCAGGGTCAGGTGTCTACCAGTCCTCCGCGGGAGTCCCAATCAGGCCATTCCAAACACACTGCTCACAAGACTGCAGGAGATAACTGGTTCTCACCGTTATTTCCTGAGGTTGCAATGTTGTCTGTTGGCTCTAAATGCTGGTCCTATGCTGTTGGTGTGAGATCTGTATCTCTCATGAATTTGATGGCATTTTCTAAGAACACCTGTTCTCTTACAAAGCTTCCTGAGTGGGCAGATGCATTCCCTGGTCACTCAGAGTAGAATAGCTTCTTTGGAGCCATCATTCAATGCAAAGGGTCTGAAGAGTCTAGAGTGTTTCAAAATCTTCATTTTTCAGTAAGCTCCTTCTGAAGTAAACATCTTTTTGTGAAGGTGATATCAGGGCTGGAAGATTTGGGTTGCAGTTTTGTTTTCTTAAGGGATCTATTCATCTCCCTAGTTTAATGGGACTTGGGATCCCCAGAGAGTTAGTCTAATGAACCCCACTCAGCCTCTTTCCAAGTCTCTTGGCTGTTATTTACTACAACTTTGCAAACAAAACTTTCTGTTGTTTGTTCAGATCGAGAATAACAACTACTTTTAGTTAAAGTAATAAATCCAGGCTAGGCATGGTGGCTCATGCCTGTAAGCCAGCACTTTGGGAGGCTGAGGCAGGGGGAAGCACTGGAGGCCAGGAGTTTGAGACCACACTGGCAACATAGCGAGACTCTGTCTCTACAAAAATTAAAAAAAAAAAATCAAATTATGCATCCAAAATAGGGGAGTCCTGCGTAACACTAGGCAGTCTTATTGTTCTAGGGATATAAGGAACCATCACAAGTAATGTAGAACTCCGGCCAGGCCTGTCCTGCAGGACCCCTTCCCTCCCAGGGCTGTGACATGGTTGAAGATGCAGCACAAGAGAGAGGGATAAAATGCAAGAAAATGAAAAAGCTGCAATTAAATGTCTTTTTCCTTTGGTTAAAAATATAAAAGCATTTGGTAAAAAGGATCAGAAACCCACGTTCAAGACGTCGTTAAGAAAGTGGGAAAAAAGAATGAAACATACGTAGGCTTGAATCTCAAGCAGGCTGTACAATTGGGCTCATCGACAATAACCAAGATTTCTCGGTTATTCAATTTTTAATGCTGTTTATGAGAAAATTAAAGCAGGTTTTTAAAAATAGATTTATGTTTTAGATCAGTTTTAGGGTCACAGAGTAATTGAACGGAAGTTATAGAGATTTCCCATATATTCCCTGCACCTACACATGCATAAGCATAAATACATATTTTTATTTTAGAAATTATATTTACGTATTTCTTTATTTTAGAGACAGGGTCTCACTCTGTCACCTAGGCTGGAGTGCAGTGGTGCAATCATAGGTCATTGCAGCTTGGAACTCCTAGGCTCCAGTGATCCTCCTGGCTCAGCCTCCCAAGTAGTTGGGATTACAGGCATGAGCCACCACACTTGGCTAAGCAGATTATTATTATTATTTTTTGAGACGGAGTCTCACTCTGTCACCCAGGCTGGAGTGCAGTGGTGCAATCTCTGTTCACTGCAAACTCTGCCTCCTGGGTTCAAGCAATTCTCCTGCCCCAGCCTCCCGAGTACAGGTGTGCGCCACCACACCTGGCTGATTTTTGTATTTTTAGTAGAGACGGGGTTTCACCACGTTAGTCAGGCTGGTCTTGAACTCCTGACTTCAAGAAACCTGCCCACCTTGGCCTCCCAAAGTGCTGGGATTACAGGTGTGAGCCACCACACCCAGCCCTCCTAAGCAGATTATTTTTAATGTCATTTTACCACACTATAGAAGCAAGTAATCCTGTAAGATAGAAAGTTTGGAAACTCTAGTAAAATATATACATCTTTAAATCCCTCATTCATGACCCCAACTCAATACCTTTAACACTTTAATTTTCCATCAGATTATTTTTCTGATGCATTTTTTTTACATGAGCGTGATTGTATTCTACATGCCTTTACTACTCAAAAAGTGGTATGTAGACCAGCAGCACTGGCATTATTTCTGTTAAAAAAGCAGAATCCCAGGCATCACTTTAGTCCTCCTGAATCAGAAGCTGTATTTTAACAAGATCCCTGGGTGACTGATTAGTATCACACTATATTTACATATATATTTTTATCCTGCTTTTTTTAATTTAAACCAGCAATAGAAGTGTTTTTCATGTAATTAAAGATTTCACATAAATATAATTTTAAATGCTGGATTTATCATTAGTTTACATAACCACTCCCTTTTCACACTTAGGTCGTTTCCAATTTGTCATTATTAAAGTAGGACTGGGATAAATATCTTTGTATATAAAACATTTTCCATATTTGAGATATTTCCTTAAAACAAATTCTTAGAACTGGAATTACTAGTCCAGATGAAACTAGTTTTTAAGGCGTTTGATATCTTGCCATATTGACACAAACTGCAGTATTCGAACGGCAGCTTAGTATAGAACAATGGTTTTCAGCTGGGGCTTGTTGCATTAGCCACACCTGTCAAAAGTTTTCAAGTCATCTATATCACTGCACCACCATCTTTTTGACACTGAGAATCACTGGTAAAGAAGAAAGAATGTGACTTTGGGGCAGTGATTTACTGGCAAATGTTTACCAACAGGCCCTCAGGAAAACAAAAGGTGCCTTGATTTGTAGCATTTGAGATTTCTATGGTGTAAATACTTTCATTCTGGCTAATTTTATTTACTTACTGTTTTCCTGAGACTGAGTTTCACTCTTGTTGCCCAGGCTAGAGTGCAATGGTACAATCTTAGCTCACTGCAACATCTGCCTCCCGGGTTCAAGTGATTCTGCTGCCTCAGTTTCCCAAGTAGCTGGGATTACAGGTGCCCGCCACCACGCCCAGCTAACTTTTGCATTTTTAGTAGAGATGGGGTTTC